AAGAGCAAGAATCCTGCAAAAATACAACCACAACTCCCAAGAACTTGGCTAGATCTTGAATTGCAGAACACCATCAACCAGTCAAATATCTGACAGTGACAACAATAATAATTGTAATTTTAAAAATACCTAGGCACACATGGCTAGAATCACAAAATCATATAGTTGGAAGGGACCTCCAGGATCATCTAGTCCAACCCTCTGTACAATGCAGGAAATTCACAAATACCTCCCCCCCCATACACCCCTAGTAACCCCTGTTCCATGCCCAGAAGATGGCAAAGAACAAAAACAACCTCCAGGATCTCTAGACAAACTGGCCTGGAGAAAAATTGCTTCCTGACCCCGAAGTGGCAATCAGCATTTCCCTGGGGGTGTAAGAAAGGGCCACGAGAACTAAGCACTGAGGTGACCCCTTCCTGCCCTCCCTCTCATGATCTGCCTAAGTTCACAGAATCCACATTACTGTCCAATGGCCATCTAGCCTCTGTTTGAAAACCCCCAAAGAAGGAGATGGATGTTGGATGTTGAGGAGCAATTTTAACCAGACTGTTCACCCCTTAGTGACTATGGATTATTTTACCCATCCCCTCTATTGCTTGAGGGAAGGGGGGGGGAGTTAGTTTATTTCTCCAGAGGGAAGGATTGAACAATCTACCTAACATAGTGCTCAAATATTTGACCAAGGGGCTGCTGACATCTACAGTGTCCCATCTCCGTTAGTTCCTGACAGGAAGCTTACCTCTGTGTAGCATTCGTTTCAGCGATCCTGTGATTTGGAGAAAAACGTGAGAAATTTAGTCATAACGCACTGTAATGTGTCAATTCACTCTTTAAAAATGGTTTCAAATTAAGCCCCTCATTACGAAGAGCACTAAAATGAAGACTATATTGAATGAGAATGAATGAATTAGGGGGGGGGGGGATTTGCATCCCCAGAGTTATCCCCCACTGCTTGGTCCTGTCTCATAAACCACCTCCCATCCAAACTGCTCTTCTCTTTCATCCCCAGCAACTTACCTTTGTTTAATGCTTGATCCAGAACCTCCAAACGTTCTGTTACAAGGAAGGAAGGGTGACAAATTTATTCAGACTCCTCTCATGTAAGCAGATAGTTAGTTAAAGTGAAAAACACCACACCATACCACACACCACAGACAAAGACATGAAACTGCTCATTCAGATCAGCATTTAAATTAGGACTTGGGAACCTGGGGTGCGACCTCAAGACCCAAGCACCACCTCCCATCAAAAAGTTAACCCTCTCATTCATTCCCACATGACTACCTTTCTTCAGGGCTTCTTCCAAAGATTCTGTAAGGGGGAAGAAAAGGTGATACAATTTGCTTAGACGATCATACATACAAGCAATGTGTCACTTCACGATTTTTAAAAAGTTAAACAACATACAGCCCATTAAGCATACCAATAAAAACCATGCTGTATAATGTAGATTTTTCTTAAGTTTTGGATTTTATTGATTTTACTGCAGCATCTCCTATGAACAAAGGGCTTGGTGGCACCAGGTCACAAGCCAAAATGCCCCGGAGACTCCCCTCCCCCCTCCTGTGCAGTCACAATAGGTTTCCATGCCTTGGTCCACACCTCTGTCTTTCGGCTATGCTCCTGCAGAGTGCAGGGGGTTGGACTAGATGACCTGCAAGGTCCCTTCCAACTCTAACATTCTATGATTCTATGATCATTACTGGTGCAGTTGACTGATCATTCTTAAATAACTGTAATGTATCTAATTAACACTGCATAGGCTGCCCGTTGCCAACCTTCAGCTCCATTACAGGGCACATCCGAAGACCGTTCTTTACTAGAGTATCGGCTGCCCTCTTGGATTGTAATTATATAGAGCTCAAAAGAAAGGTGTCTTCCCACCTATGATATAATACTTAGAACAATCCTACTGAGATATGTTAAGCTAAGAGAAGGATGTTGGCCTAAGGCTACCCCTGTGAACTTCATAACCGAGCAGAGCTTTGAACCATTTTCCAAGATAGCTTTGATGCGAATGGAGATATGCAATTAATGCATGGATGGATACATGTAGGAAGCTTAACTCTACATTCTATCCTAATGCTACATTCTGTCCACTACATAATACTGGTGATATTTGTGTTCTTCTGCCCATCCCAAATACAACAACCAAGATTTGGGCAGCAAAATACGCTCCTACATGTATCCAGGCTGAGATCCAGCAGTACCCCCAAGATACAGCCTTCAGAGGGAGTGCACCCCTGAAGGACAGGCAGACTATGCAATCCCGGAGCAGCTTTGTTACTGACTAGCAGCACCTCTGTCTTGCCTGGACTGAGCTTCAGTTTACTGGCCCTCATCCATCCCATTACCTCCTCCAGGCACCTCTTTAGGACTGCCACTGACCCACCTGACTTAACTGTTAAGGAGAAACAGAGCTGGGTGTCATTCGCATATCAGTAGCAGCACCAAATCCCGATGACATTTCTCAGTGGTTTCATGCAGATATTAAACAGCATGAGGGGAAAAGAATGAACCTTGCAGGACCCCATAAGAGAAATCCCACGGGGCCAAGCAGCAGTTTTGCAGCACCACTTTCTGGAATCAGCCAGTGAAGTAAGTGTGGAACCACCAATGCATGGTGCCCCCTCCCCCCCACAACCAGCCTCTCTAGAAGGGCATTGAACACCACAGAGGGGTCCAGGAGAATCATCAGGGACTCACTCCCTCTGTCACTCTCCTGCCAGGAGATAAAGGCTCATTCTGTCTCCAACTCAGGCCTAAATCCAGACTGAAATGGGTCTAGATAATCCATCTCCTCCAAGACCCCCAAAAGTTACATTATCACCACCCATTCGAGCACCTTGCTCAAAAATGGAATGTTGGCCATCAGGCAGTAATTGTTCAGTTCAGAATTAGCACCACAGAATGAGCTTTACTACCCAAGCTAAAATGTTTTAATCTGTATGGTCCAGAAACACTTCAGCCAGTGTTGCATAGTGATTAGAGAGACAAGAATATGGCAGAACCAGGTTCTCATCCCTACTCTGCCATGGAAGCTCACCGGGTGACCTTGGACCAGTCAAACATTCTCAGCCCAATCTACCTCACAGGGTTGCTGTGAGGATAAAATGGCGGAGAACACTGTAAGCTACTTTAGTTCCCACTGGGGACAGAGATGGGGTATAAATGGTGTAAACTAGCTAAATAAAAGCTTCTCTGCAGTCACACACCCACATTTTTAGAGTTTATTGTTCCCAATACCTGCACATTTTTCTACCGCCTTTCCTAGAGCAGAACACTTCTGTGAGCAAGTTTTGAGTCTCCACTCCAACCAGGTAAAAAGGCCCACTGCATTCTCCACTTGTTCTTTCTTATACCTATAAGGGAATGTATATAAGGGAATGTATATTGTCACCCTGTTATTTAATTTATATGCAGAGTACATAATGTGAAATGTCGGCTTGGATGAATCACAAGCTGGAATTAAAATTGCCAAGAAAAACATCAACAACCTCAGATATGAAGATGATACCACTCTAAGGGCAGAAAGTGAAGAAGACCTAAAGAGCCTCTTGCTAAGACTGAAAGAGAAGAGTGCAAAAGCTGGCTTGAAAGTCAACATAAAGGAAAAAAAAACTAAGGTCATGGTATCTGGCCCCATCACTCCTTGGCAAATAGAAGGGGAAGTTGTGGAAGCAGTGACAGACTTCACGTTCCTGGGATACCACTGCAAACAGTGACTGTAGCTATGAAATTAAAAAGCGCCTGCTGCTTGGGAGGAAAGCGATGGCAAACCTAGACAGCATAATAAAAAGTAGAGACATCACCCTGCCAACAAAAGTCCATATGGTCAAAGCAATGGTATTCCCAGTAGTCATGTATGGCTGTGAGAGTTGGACTATAAGGAAGGCCGAGCACCAAAGAATAGATGCTTTCGAATTATGGTGCTGGAGAAGACTCTTGAGAGTCCCTTGGACTGCATGGAGATCAAATCAGTCAATCCTAAAGGAAATCAACCCTGACTGTTCCCTGGAAGGCCAGATACTGAAGCTGAAGCTCAAATACTTTGGCCACCAAATGAGAAGGGAGCACTCACTGGAGAAAACCCTGATGCTGGGAAAGATCAAAGGTGGCCACAAAACTCAGTACCACTTATCCTAACCTACCGCAAAGTACTGTTACGATGGTAATGCAAGGGGGATGGAGAACCACATATGCCACCCTGTGTTCCTTGGAAGAAGGACGGGATCAAAAGAAAACATTTTTAAGGGGAGCTTTCCACATAATACCATGTTCTACCCACCACCTCTCTTTATTCTAGTGGGGGGAAAAACCCACCATTGCATTTCCTAACATGGTATCTTTCACAATAAAATCTGAACCTGAAAAAAGTTCAGCTCAGCTCTATTCTAGAAAAAAAGATTGGGGGACAAAGATTTGCTTGGATTCCACCTAGAATTTATGTAAACTTGAGAGATTTCCCCCTCCTGCCATAGCTCAAAACAGCCATCAAAATGCTGCTCCTGGGGGATGGGGGACCCCCCCCCCCAGAATAGGGTTTTTGGGGGGGGGCGTATCAAAGGTCTTCTACAAATCAAAGGTCTTCTACAAAGAGAAATCAGTGGGAATTGCCCCTCTTTGTGTCTACAGATTTCTTGGTGCTAAGAAGTGGACGGAAAGAAATGTATTGGGGGGAGTGGGATACAAGTGACCTGACTGAATAGAAGGCACGTTTGTTCACACTTTTCTAAGGAAAGTACCCAGTCTCTGATAATATACAATTGGGTGAAATGGTTGGGGTAAAAAAATAATAATCCTCATCCCAAAATCTAATCGTAAGAATATTCCCATGTGGCATATGAAATATAATTTCAGGACCTGTCATATCATCCCTACAGACTTGTATTCAATTGTATTGTACATTCCTCTGTTCAGCTGTAAAAAATGTAAATTTCCAATACTAATTTATATATTATTCATCAGAAAAAGATATGTTATTTTGCCCAAACATGTTTCCCACCCCTACAAAATTTCCCACATTTGATAAAACAGAAAGAGGAAATAGAGACAGCCACATACCTATTCAAGGTACTTTTCAGGTCCTAAAAGAAAGAGAGAAGAGGGTCTCAGCTACATACACTGGACTTTTATTTTAAATTCTAATAGTGAAGTTGGCCAGTCTTTGGATACCTAAATCCGGTGAGTGGAGCTGGACCTTTCTACAAAACTGGAAAGGGCCCCAGGTTTACAGAAAAAATATGAAATCTAAAAAAAAACAAAAAACACCTTGAGTTTAAAAAAATCTGAAAATGATAAAAGGAACGCTTGTATCTTAAAAAAACAGATTCCCTCAGTGGCTGTTGCTAGGCAACAACAGTATTCCAGGATGAGGTTTTGTGAGTAAAAAATTAGGGGTAGGGCCCTTTCCAGGCCTATTTTGGCCTTTGAGGGAAGATTCACTGGGACCAGGACTGACTTGGGTTGCCAGCTCCAGGTTGAAAAATTCCTGGAGATTTTGTGGTGGAGTATGAGGAGAGCAGGGTTTGGGGAGGGGAGAAGGAGAAGCTGCTTTGGTCTCCACTGTGGAGGAAGACTGTAGTTTTCCCAGCCAGAGGCTGCAGGGTGGAGGGGAAGAGATGAAAAGCTGAAGATAGAGGGACAGATAAAGTTATGTTGGCTTTTGGGAGGGAAAGGAATAGCTGTCAGCAAGCTGCCATTCTGTTTTCTGTGACCTCTGTGTACATATCCTTTCCCTGTTACACCCGGCTTGGCTTCTATCATCCTGTTCCTGCTTTGGAATGCAAAAGATAACTGCTGGAGGTTGTGTGGGGGAGAAGATGCTGTAATGCTTGCCTATTGATTTTCCCAGGACTACTGCACCTGTGTTTTGTCTGATGTTCTGCCTGGTTCTCATGTACTGGGCGCGCAACCGTTTCCTTAGCCCGCCAGCGGGAAAGATATTCATTGGATCTGTATCTGTTTGAAGTTCCTTTATTATGCTTGACCTAACTGTGTATCCCCAGTTCTAACAAAGAACGTGTTTGAGTATGTCTTCAACGCTTTGAAATAAATTTTGCTTTTCTTTAAAACGTGGATTTATTCTCGATGCTTGGGGATCCAACAATAGCATTGCCAGCTGCAGTTTGGTAAATTTCTGGAGTTTTGAGGAGTGAAGCCTGGGGAGGGTGAGGAGGGGAGGGACCTCAGAAAAATATAATGCCATAGACTCTACCCTCCAAACCAGCCATTCTCTCCATGAGGGCTAGTGTTGCCAACCTACAGGTGAGAGCTGGAGATCATCTGGAATTATAAATCTCCAGATGACAGTGATCAGTTCCCCTGGAGAAAGTGGCTGCTTTGGAAGATGGACTTTATGGTATTATACCCTGCTGAGGTTGCTTTCCTCCCCAAACTTCACCATCCTAAGGCTCCACCCCCAAATCTCCAGGAATTCCCCAACCTGGAGATGGCAAACCTAAGGGGAATCCTTTGTGATTCCTGGAGAGCCATTGCTGCCACTGCTGCTGTGGGGAACAGCAGGTGGGTGGCTGGGAACACCACCATCACTACTGCTGCTGTGTGTGTGTGGGGAGCAGGTGGGAGGCCAGGAGAGTGATGGGGGGGGCAGAGAGAGCGATGTGGTGGGAGGCAGAAAGAGAAAGTGACAGGCATGGAGAAGAGAGAGTAAGAAAAGTGGTGGTGGAGGGAGAAAGACAGACTGAGGTCCTTTCTGCACTTGGATCTCATCCATGGTTTTATCAGAGTTCAACTCGCGACACAATACCTTGCATTTATTCCTGGTTCTAACAGCATCCGTTCATCCTGGGACAAGTGTGGTGCGAAACTGGGGTGGCCTCAATGTAATGTGGGATCAAAAAATACCCTTACAGGGGTGAACTCACGTGTAGCGTAGAATGTAAGTTCGAGGACAGGGTTGAACCAGAATTTAAGGTCTAGTGCGGAAAGGACCAGAGAGAAGTAGGGGAGAAAGAGAGGAAACAAAGGTGGGGAGAATGGGATTCCTGCTCCTGCAAGTTTCTTATATGTCCCCACCAGTGTTCCCTCTAAGCTGAGTTAGTGTGAGCTAGCTCACAGTTTTTTAGTCTCCAGCTCACAGATTTTTGTCTCGGCTCAGGAAGGAGGGCTCCAGAGCAAACTGATTTATGCAGCAGCCAAATCACTCGCTCACAAGTTTAATGCCGGGAGCTCGCAAAGTAGAATTTTTGCTCACAAGACTCCACAGCTTAGAGGGAGCATTGGTCCCCACTTATAATATACTTATTTTGCCCATCCATGTCTGTAAAAACCGAATGTTATTCCTAGGATCATGTTTTCTTAATTGTAAGCTCTTTTGGTGTTACAGACTGGATTGTTGATGCTGCGCTGTCTGCCTTGGTTTTTGTGCCTGTTCTGTCCTAACACTGATGCAAAACAGACATAAAATAAAGAACAACTGAGGAGTCCCAATGTATCATTTCCATGTCAGAAAAAATAGTAGGCAACTCACCTAAAATATGGAGAGAAATCTGGATAAGGAGAATTTCAGAAACATCCTCTCACCTGCAGGAACTCACGTGATGGCTGTTGGCACTTCCCCTCCATTTCTGTGATCAAGCGACTGAGATGGGAAATCTCCTCAGAGAGCCGCTTGATATTTTCTTCCTTTGTCTTCTCCATCTCTTCCAGCTGGGACAGCCATTCATGCTCTTTTTCCTCAAGAATCTTATGCATCCTTCCAATGGAGGACCTGACCTTCTGCTTGTCTTCTTCTAACTGAAGGGGGGGGGAGAGACACACATGCACACAACAGACATTGCGGGAGGGGGCAGAGTCAGTAGTCACTGGCATCTACTAGCCAATGTTCATCCCCAACACTTGAGTCCAAGCAATTAATGACCTACCATACATCCCTGGCTTCTCAGCTCTTGAAGCTCCACGAACTGTTCTCTCTTTTTTTCCAGAGACTTCAGCAGAATTTTAATTTTTCCCTGCCAAAAAAATAAATAAAAAAACATTCTAGCAGGAGATGAGCCTGTTGGATTACCAGTCAGCAATCCTGCCTTGTGGAACAGTTTGCTCGAGGAAGTCAAGAAAGCTACCACTCTCCTGGCTTTCCGCAAACTGTGCAAAACTAAGTATTCAAAAGGGCTTTTCTGAGCAGGTTAATAGGGTTGTACTGTACTAAAAGGTTTTACAAACTTGTTTGGATAAATGGTTAGGGAACTGTGGTCTATACTGTGTATAGTTTACTGTAAGGAGGATCCCATTTATGTGATTTCTGTACCGCTTAATGTGTCATGTGAATATTAGTGCAATGTTTCCATTCTTCCTGGTGGTTCCAGACTTCTAAAATACTAATGCATTGGGTTACGGAATGTTCCATTTTGTTGACTGTCCTGACTCACAATGTATAATCTACCTTGAGTCCCTATGAGAAAGGAAGACGATACATGGCATAAATGAAACATAAGTAAATAATAAAAGTCTTAATGAACCATGGCTGCTGGAAAACCCTTCTACCTTTTCTGTGATTTTACTCATTTCACCATTTCTCCGCTTTTCTCGCTCAGATTTTGTAAACACATTTTAAAGCTTGCAATTGTAATTTAAATATTTGGTGGCCATACTTAATTGGGAACGGAGCCCTGGAAAGAATTCAGAATGTAATGACACTAAAAGTGAAGAAACTAGGGTGGACTGATCAGCTGTATTACATGATATGGTTGTTGTCTGTGGTATCAACACTGTGTTTTCCTTGATAAGATCACACAGACCACTATCCAGTGGGATTCAATGGCCATGGGCAGTGAGGGTAAAGAAGGGGACTGGCGCCAAGCAAAATGGAATCTAAGCAACACAATGAGCTCCAGGACGGGCTTGTTTGTGCAGTGGCCGAATCGCTCGCTCACGGCTTTGGTGCCAGTGGCTCACAGCGTGGCATTTTTGCTCACAGCTTAGAGGGAGTATTGTCTCCACAGCTTAGAGGGAGTATTGATCCTGACCTGGGTAGCCCAGGCCAGCGTGATCTCGTCAGGCCTCAGAAATTAAGCAGGGTTGGCTCTGCTTGGTATCTTTAATAGGTGCCCTGACTTGGGTGGGCCCTGGTTAGAGGCTGGCGATGGCAAAAACCACCTCGGAGAAACCTCTTGCCTTGAAAACCCTTTCGGGGGGGGGGGGGTGTCTCCAGAAGTCAGCTTCCCACCACCATATACTATTACATCCTTCCTCGTTGTTCAGTCAGAAAGCATGGCTCCTCATGTTTCTGCTTCCCTCTGCCACGTGTAAACGTTTAACTCGCATCATGCTGCTGTATCCTTTAGGGAAACTTGGCTTTGAGCTCTAGAGTGGCATCTGTAAAGTCAGGTCATCTTGGTCCAAACTCCAGGTGTTCCCCTTTCTGATGTCAGATGGAGCTGTGCGGCTTCAAAGGGAGGATGAGGAAGATTCTTGTGGGCATTGGAGGGAATTGAAAACAGATCAGCCAGTATCATGATGCCCCTGCATAAATCGAGGGTGCAACCTCATTTGGAGTACTGTGCGCAGTTCTGGTCACCACACCTCAAAAAGGATATTATAGCATTGGGAAAGGAGCAGAAAAGGGCAGCTAGAATTAGAGATGTGAAGGCCCGGAAAAAAACTGGGAAAATTCGGAAAAAAACCATCCCCCCCCTTTTTTCCCTGAAGCCTTTTTTGTTTTTTTCCGAAAAATTGGAAAAATTGAAAAAAGAAAAGAAAAAAAAATTGATTATGGAACGTTTTATTTTAACAGGATGAATAAAATATTGGGTATTCTGTTTGTGATAATTGTTTGGATACACTATATTTTTAATATGCTAGTTGTGATAATTTCATGCCAAGTAAAAATGTCCATAGTCATATTTTATGTTCCTAAAGTAACAGAATGACTTTCAATCTAGAAAAGACAAAAAGAAATGCAATGTAGCATTTTTTTCAATTTTTCCAAAAATTTCCATTTTCCCTCCATGTTCTTATGAGGGTCAGAAAATCCCCTCACCAAATTGGGCCTCCAAACACAGGGGAATCTGAGTTTCAACTGTCAACTCCCAGGTAACATTTGCCTGAAAGAATTTGGGGACTGATCACGAAACAGGGCGTTATGCAGTAAGGCCTTGAGTCATGTGTTCAATAAGCAGGATGGCTAATTTATGGCTCCAGCTAGTGTGATGATCTAAGTTTATAAACAATATCTTTGAATAGTAATGACTGATTCCAATTTTCTTTTAGTTAACTACTTTTAGTTTTGAGCAGCTGTTGTGAGTACTCTATATTCAGTACTAACTTGTGGCCAGACCCTCCATTGTCAGTTTGGTGTAATGGTTAAGAGCGCTGACTCTAATCTGGGAGAACTGGGTTTGATTCCCCCACTCCTCCACAGGCAGCTGCTGGTGTGACCTTACAAGGGTGCATGTTATGGGAAGGGGAAGGGATTGTAAACCACTCTGAGACTCCTTCGGGTAGTGAAGGGCGGAGTATAAATCCAATCTCTTCTTCTCTTTCCTTCTCTTTTTGATACATGACATACTTGTTAGGGTTGGCTATGGGTTGCCATCCTGGTTAGGGATGCCAATGCGGCTGGAGAAAAATGTCCTGTTCTTTTCATAAGTGTTTAATGGGCTATTATTTATCAGGTGATGTGATTTAGCTTGATGCCATGAAAAGTTGCAGCTGCCCCTTTCCGCATATTAAGCCTCTGTTAAAGGGCAAGACATTTCCCCCTGGTGTGCAGATACAAACATATGCAAACTTCTCCATACCACAGATTGTAATCCAGTACTAAAAAGGGGGGAGCTGCCAACTCTGGGATAGGAAATCCCTGGAGGTTTGGGTGAAGAGGGCAGGGTTCGGGGAAGGGGGTGAACTCAGTGGGATATAATGCCTGAGTTCTCCCTCCAAAGCAGCCATTTTCTCCAGGGAACTGGTCTTGAAGTCTGGAGGTCCATTCTAATTCTGGGAAATCTCTAGTCCTCTCCTGGAGGTTGGTAACCTTAAGGGAGAGTGGGCAGTTTCCAAGAATGCTTTTTTTTACTTAAAGGGGGGGCTTTTTTACTGGGGCATTGCTTTGATGCGGGGGGGGCCTATTCTGATACATTTTTGTACACCATAAAAAAGTCTTACCAGAATGAATCCATTCAGCATCACACACACAAAAAAGAGATTAAAATAATTTCTCTTTCATTCCTACCTTATATTCTTGGGCAGCTTCTTCGGCAGGGACCACGGCGTGAGCCTTGTGCTCTTTGGATCGGTCGCACACCACACAGATGGGGGCTTGGTCATCGTTGCAGAAGAGTTTCAAAGCCTCCTGGTGCTTCTCGCACACACCCCACGTCCCTTCTGCGCTATTCCCCTCCTGCAGTTTCCGGGCTATTTCCACCACGTTTGCGAGATGCCTGTTGGGCTTGAAGTTCCTGCGCGGAACCGTTTCTCGGCACTGCGGGCAGGAAGTGCCCGCGCCCGACTCCCCCCAGCACTGGGTGAGGCAGGCATGGCAGAAATTGTGCCCGCAGTCTAGAATCACCGGCTCCTTGAAGTATTCCAGGCAGATGGGGCAGGTCATCTCATTGCAGAGGTCCGCCAGGCAACTCCCCGCTGCCATCGCTGCCTCTCCCGGAAGCATCCCAGCAAGCCTTTTAGTTTCGTTTCTGACTTCACTGTTTTGTCTGGAAATGGTCCAAGACGAGGGCGGATCCCGACGAGGCCTCCATAATACGTCTCAGGGAGAGTTTCGTTTGTCTGTTTGCCGCCTCGCTGATTGATTGTTTGTCATCCTCCCTCTCCGCGCTCCGATTCTTTTAGGACAAAACGCCCCCCCCCCTTTTAGGAAAGAGTCGCTGAAGGGTTGAGGAGTTTGAGGGGCGCCACCTGCCTTTTTGTTAATTTGGAGATTAACTCGACGCGGGGCGGTGTAAAACCTGGAACGGAACCCAGCGCTCCAGAGCAGCGGTTTAAACACGCAGAAAAAGAAACCAAATGCATTTAGCATTTGTTCTGCTGTTTTACCAAACCCAGGTTGGAACAGAAAATCCCGTCTGCATTGCGTGCATGCCAGTTTCACTTTGATCGGTTGTCGGATTTTATGGCAGTCTCCAGACTGCATGCCGCTTTCACTTCGTTTGATTTCTGGGTTTTATGGAGCATAGATTTGTGGCCGTTTTATGGCTGTCCAGGGGTGACTCTGCAGTCAGTATGGTGTCCCCCCCCCCATTTGAATGTGGTGTTGAGCGGCACCTTTTTTTAGCCGCTAGATGCAGATTGGGCCTTAGAAAGGGAAACCTTGCAATATTATGCTTTCACTAACCGTTTCCTGGCTGAAGAGGGCTGGAAAACGTTAGAAGGAGGCCGGAGGAAATCTGGTAAACCCAACAGAGCAGGTTATACAGCTCATTGGAAGCAACCGATGGGGGTGGAGGATTTCCCTGGAGTTAGTGCAAGTTTTGGATGCAGACAGTTCTGCACCCAGAGACTGGTCTTGGAAGACTTTGTCCCCCCCCTCCCCATTCCATTGAAAAAAGCCATTTGGAGCACTGTGGCCCGGGCCGGAAAATGGGGGCGGGGAGCGTGGCTGCTTGCCCGGGGCAAAATAACCTGCGGTTGTGCGAGCAGGAGGTGCCGATCACAGGACACTCCTGCTGCGATGCAAAGAAGCGGGCCGCAGGGCAAACGGGGTTGTGGGGTTTTTTAAAACTAAAGTGTGTGCATGCTCCGTTGGGTGCTTGTGCGCATCCGTGGAGACTTGGGGGAAAAAAACCTTTCTGCGAGGGGACATGGGGGGTGCCGAAACTACCACCGGAAATCCGATCAGAGGCCCCCGTGCCCTGCAGTTTTTACAGCCATGGAGTGAAGCCTAGGGTGAGCCACGGGAGCTCTACGCTTCCCAGATGTGGCGGTGAGATCGCACCGGAAAATCCGCCTATCTTCCGTCTCGCTAGCGTGCGTGCCTAATGCTCCGTGTGACCGCAGCCTGTGTTAACTTGTGGGGTGGGAATGAAAGTTTCACCGCAGCCTTTTAGACTGTGGAAGGCTTGGGATGCGCTTTCTTTTACACCGCAGCTATCTGACTCACAGCCCCATTACACGGTGGGCGAGGTACTTGTGGCGCAGTTTGCGCCCCTGACCACTTTAAAGCGGAGTCTGAAGGGTCGCTCCATTCGATTGTAGCAGGAGGATGAGCGCGGGGCTGTGCTAAAGGTTTTGGAAAAGAGGTTCTTTTGCGAGAGACGGGTCCATCCTGAATACATTGAAGGGAAAGTTTGCCCTGGGTTGCAAGCGGTGGGTGTGACTTCTGTGCAACCTTCAACTTGGGGTTGGCTCTTCCAAGCATGGACAAACGGCAGCAGAGAAAGGAGCCAGTTTGGTGTAGTGGTTAAGTGCGAGGACTCTAATCTGGGAGAACTGGTTTTCATTCCCCACTCCTCCACTTGCACCTGGCTGGATGACCTTGGGCAAGCCGTAGTTCTGATAAGAACTGTTCTTGAAAAAAGAGCAGTTTCTGTCAGAGCTCTCTCATCCTCACCTACCTCACAGGGCCTGTTGTGGAGAGGGGAAGGGAAAGGAGTTTGTAAGCCACTCAGAGACACCTTTGGGTAGTGAAGGGCAGGGTATAAATCCAATCTCTTCTCTTCTTCTTCTTGTCACTGCAACCTTCCCTGTGCCCTGAGTACAGAACAGAAAGGCGAGAGGCATTCTTGACCAGATTTTGAAAGATGCATTAGTTGATAAAGTGCCTGGCACTCACACACAGCCTGTAAGCAGCAGGCTAGAGTGAAACAGTAAATGTATATGACCTTGAGATTAAAAAAGTGTTACAAAGTTACATGCAAAGATCCTTGACAGTGAGGGAGAAGATTGTGTGTGATACACCAAGCAATTGTTCATTATTTACACATTACTAGTTACATTGTACTACCCTCTTATTTATACTTTATTTTAATAAATCCTATTTCATTCAAGTATACCAGCTCTGAAAGAAATACCTAATTAAATATAATCCCTAATTAAATATAATTACAAAGATAAATCAAGAGCAGTTCCTGGAATGTCTTCTTATCTGTTTGGAAATTGTTCTCTTTGGACAGCCTCTTTTCTTTTCTAGTGGAATCCCTACTTTGCCCCCCCCCCCCTTAGCCAGTTCCTTTTCTCCCTGCCCTTATTCAGTCTTCTGCTCCTACAAGCAACACCTGCCTTGATTGCTATCAACTGGTATCCAGGAATACAGAAACGCCTGGCCTAGAATATCACTTGGAGAGGAAGAGGGGGTTATATAAGGCAGGGGTGGCCAAATTTGTTTAGCCACCACAGAATGTCAGATGTTTGAAAGCCGCAAGACATGAACAAATGTTACACACACAGGCTGAGGTCAGACTGGCAATTTGAAGCGTGAGGGAGTCATGGCAAAAAGATCCAGCACAAACTGTTCCAGGTTTTCCTAGTCACACTGCGCCAACTGATGTGGGAGCATACCAGGGAGGAGGCGCAAGGAAGCATTTGCACTGTTGGCCCGCCCCTGGCGGAGGTGTGGCTGTAAGCAGCTTTGTTTGGTAATCCAGTTATGTTCACTTATGTGCTCATGTGCATAACTGCATCCCTACCAGATCGCGGCTTCCAGTGTTCACGTGTCCGGGAAGTGGGATAAATGCGCTCTCCAGGGTTTGATACCACTTTCACCTGGTATCTTTTAAACTCGTGAGGGAAGTGTTACAAGACGGGTTGAGTACGGCTGGGGAACCCCTGATAGATGTGCCTGAGTGAACGGTCCCTTCGACCTGTTTGTGAAACGTTTCTGGCTCGTGCCTATATCGGGGCAAACTGCCAGTCTGAACTCAGCCACATTTTTACTGAAAAATATGCAGATTCATTTTTTAACATTAAATTAGGCTGTGTGAAAGAGCCACATGCATCTTCTGAGCTGCAGTCTGGCCACCCCTGATAAGCTATGACGGTGATCCCAAACTTGCTATCCATGGGTGCAGTTTCCTGGTGCCCACTTCCTTTCCCCCAAAGCATCTTTCCCTCAAATAGCTAATTTTCCTTTCTCCCCCTTGTAGAAGCTGGAGGTGCTTCAGAAAAGACAAGGCAGCATCCCCTTTTCTGTCTGAAGGCAGCACCCATTCAGAAATAGCCACTTCCACCATAGGAGGATGCTTGGCTTGGAGCCTCTAAGTATTTTGTGGTTAGCCCCCCCCCCCCCATGGCAGCCATTGCACCCAACATCTGTTATACGAATTCAAAGAGAGCTCACGGGCTCAGCAACGTTGCTGATCTCTGTTCTCAGTAACAGAATTAAAATCTATGTTCAGGGAATGAGGCTGTGATCACACACACTAAATAATGAACTTTCAATTCACTTTCAGTGATCTTTCCAAATGGATCTTACTGTGTGAACTGGCAAAATCCAGTTAGAAAGTACATTGCAAGCAATGTTCCCTCTAAGGTATGGAGTCTTGTGAGCAAAAACTCTACTTCGTGAGCTACTGGCATTAAGGTTGTGAGCAAGCGATTTGGCTACTGCATAAATTAGTTTGCTCTGGAGCCCTCCTTCCTGAGCTAAGGCAAAAATGTGTGAGCCAGAGGTTAAAAAACTGTGAGCTAGCTCACATTAAGTCAGCTTAGAGGGAACACAGATTGCAAGTGGATTGAAAGTGCATTATTTAGTGTTTGTGATCACAGCCTGAGTGGCAGAAATAAATAGGAACTCATGTTTAAAGTGCACTTTAACAGGGTTAATCATACTATCAACACAGATTAATCTGTTTTTTCCCCTTAGTTCATATCATTTCCCTCCTTCTGTGTTTAAATGCTTCCTGACAGGAAAAAATCAACAGATGGAATGGTGAGAAACCCATTTCCGCCCACTTTCTTGTAAACTTTTTTGAGGACATGCCTATTTCAAAGCACTGCACCGAACGGGATCATTTATAGCTGCCAGTTTTTAGTTTTTACATTGATTCAATTTACTTTTATCACTCTTGTGATCTAGATAGTAAATTGACAGGCAATGAAAATCTGAAAACTCTAGACTTTATAACTATTAAATTTTGATAACAGCAGCCAAAATAACAATAACAAAAAACTGGAAAAATAAGAAATCCCCTACCATGAACCAATGGATACATAAAGTTTGGGATTTATTTATGATAGAAAAAATTTCAATATATAATACCGCAAATCAAAAAAATGGAAAAATAACAATTAACAAATTTGAGTGGGAGATGATTACTGAAGCAAAGTACAAGACAATGCTGTATAACTGAAAATAGAGATACTGGTTTTTTTAAAATCAATAGCTTATATAGTTTGTTAAGATTGTCTTTTCTTCAAGGTGTATGAAGTTGTTGATGGCAGATTATGGTGTTGGTTTTATATTATTGCATTCAAGTTTGTACCTCTTATTGAAAAGTATATACAGATGATGTCTGACTGGAATATTTCATAAAAAATTCAATAAAGAATATTAAAAATAATAATTATGTCCTGTAAAGTACTGGGTTCGCCGCATGGAGGACTCGGACAATGACATGCGTTTGCACATGTTTATTGTACTTCACACAGGAACTACAAAACGGCCCTGCAAGGCCAACTATATACACACCCACAGTCCCGTTGGAGGGTTTGAATTTCCCGCCAAAGTTGCTATTGGTTCATGCTGGGGGAACTAGGATCCTAGGTTCCTATTGTCTAGAGGAGCTAAGCTCTTGACTGTAGCCGCGGACCCCTGGTGGTGGTCCACATACATAACATGGCCCATTGCCTGTTTTTCTAATACCCATGGAGAAGGTGAAGGTGTTCAATGTAATCCTCCGGTTGAGATACCTGAAGTGAGCAGAGGGGAATTCTCCTCAAGATTTACTAGAGCAGCCTGAGTCCACAATTTGCCCAGAAAAAGGGGCGGATCGCCTCTCCCGAGAATGAGGTTGAAGGGAAAGCGAATATCAAGTTGCCTGAATCTGCATCAAAAAATTTCACATCACCCGCTTCACAATCCAAGGACACACGGATCTTTTTGAAATAACTGTGTAAGATGACAGGGGTAAGCCCAGGGGAAGTAAAAGCTAAGAGTTGAAAAGGCGAGAATGCATCATTGAACGGCTTCCCCACAGCCCAGATTCCCTCCTCAGGACTAAAGTTGGAAAGCCCTTTCCTCATGACAGACTCTCTGGCGACCCCTACAGCCCACTCTTCCCATCTCCCTCTCTCTAGCTCCACCTCCACTTCCCACCAATGTCTTCCTGAAGTGAATCTTTCATGGCCCAGTACACAGGGCTCCTTGTCAAATCTCTCAGCGTCGTTAGGCAGGAACTGGTCTCTGCTGTCCCACTTCACACTCTTTTGATCCTTAGAAAGCCTGAGATGGGGATGTGCCGTGTCTGGATCCAAAGTCACTTTAGCTGCAGCACAAAGAGAGGGAGAGAATAAGAAAGGTGATGGCAGGTGGGTATCAGGGAAAATATCAGTATTAGATGCTGGGAAGTGACTCCCACAATGTCCTTTCTGGATGGCCAGGAAAAGTTATGCTCTACAAAAGGGATAGGTATGGAGACATAGTGAAGGCACTGGCTGAAAGTACTTGATCCCCACAAAGGAAGACATTTTAAATACCAGCTTTTCCATAAAAATCACAGTCACCAAATTACATGGGAGAGAATGTGTACAAAAGTCCACATCCTAACACAATGAGAGGGTTGTAGTTGTTGGAACTTGAAGGACTTTGCGCTGTCTCTTAGCTTCAGACTTCAGATGGGGTCTATAAGAGTCAGAGAGATAGGGCCAGGACACTGATCAGCCTTTCCTTTATTCTCTGATACTATCCCTTTGATGTGTAGATTCCTACTCTCAGGCAATCCTTCTGGTATGACACCTTCTCTCCATACTATGTTTCTTATCTCCATCTTGGCACCATGAGTGCAGAACATGCTTCCTGTATCTCTATCCATCCTAGCTAGTTAGATTACAATCCTATCTCTCTCCTGTCTAGAATGGAGTTCCTTACAATAAAGGATTCATATTAGGTAGCTTCTGCTGCGTTATGTGCCTTGAGCACTCTACTAATCCAAATAATCCTTCAGTAGTTACATCAAGAATGTATATAGTGCTTTATAGAACTGAAAAAGGTTTATTTACATGACATCAACATATGGCTTCTTTGTAACACCAGATTTTTGGTCCCTCAAGCTGAGCACTGTAGACTATTATGGGGGCGGGAATGGAAAGTGCCAGCAAGGTGCAAAAACTGGTTGTAGGGTGTCTGGTTCTGTCAACCCAGAAGAGTTTTCAAGAAAAGAGATGAACACAAGTGGTTTTCCATTGCCTGCCTCTGTCCAGCAACCCTGGTCTTCTTTGGTGGCCTCCCATCCAAGTACTAACCAGGGCCAACCCTGCTTAGCTTCTTAGATATGATGCTTAGCCATCCAGGTCAAGGTGATTTTTAGCAATTCTTCAGGTTAACTGAGATTCTTCAACAGAAAATGCCAAAGACTGAACTTGGAAGCTTCTTTACAGGAAGTCTCTGCTCTACTTCTGAACCCCGACCTCACCCTTAATGGTAGAGTCTATCACTACCTTAAGGCAGTGTCCCAGCAGGATTCGAAGCAGCAGCTACAGTGCAAGGGATCACGAAAGAGCTAACTGGAGACGATAAAATCCACTGCTAATGGTATCATTACACTAGCCTGTTAATCTGGTCTTCGGCTGTAAACCAAAGTTGTTACCTTCATATTGTAGTGGCGCGCATGAGCGAGAGATTAAGAAAAATGGTATTTAGATACCTCCTTTCTAAAATCCTGGATGGTGGATTGCTTAAGGCAATTAGTAAATTCAGCGGGTCGCCGTGTTGGTCTGCAGCAGAAGAGCTAGATTCAAACCCAGTAGCACCTTAGAGACCAGGTAGATTTGGGGGCTATGCGCTTTTGAGAGTCAGAGCTCCTTTATTTATTTATTTATCAATTTTTCAAATTTGTATTCTGCCCTCCTCGCAAGCGGGCTCAGGGTGCATCACAACACAGTATCGGAAACACATCAGAAATTCCAGACATAGAGACAATAAGACAATTTAAAACAACACAAAACAGGGCGCACTATTTATTCTCATACAGAGGTTTCCAGCTGGCGCCACTGGTCTCTCGAATTTCTCAACCTGGGCCACAGGAGATGGCATCTGACAAAGGGAGCTTTGACTCTCAAAGGCTCAGACCCCAAAAACCTTGTTGGTCTCCAAGGAGCTATGGACTTAAATCTTGTTGGAAGTTTCAGATGTGATGTCCCCCTGTCTCAGACCTCCAGACTGAGTGGCAAGAGAGACTAGATGGCGAGACAGGCACACTGACCTTTCTTCCTGTATCTACTCTTCTGCCACTGACCTCTTTGAAACGCAGATTGTGTTCTCAGGGATCAACTTCCCTTTTCCTGCTTCTCACTCACTCTGAATGAAGACTTCCTCTCTACCTGCACACACCAAGAGAGGGACACGCAGTCCTCTCTTGGCACCATGAGGCAGATGGGCCTCTCGCCATCCGACTCCATCCTTTAGCTAGTAAGTTAGTAATCTATCAATCTCTGCGCTTTCCTATCCAAAGTGTACTTCTCAAATCAAAGAGTGAAGTATTTCTCTTCTGAACTTGCAGCGTGGCTCTCTGTAGCACTCTGCTAACCAGGGGTAATTTCGTAGAAAAAGAGCTGCAGGAGCTCATTGGCATACCTGATAAGCTATCAGCATAACCCATTAGCATATGCCAAGCCCCCTGACATCACCAGAAGTGATGTCAGAGGGGGAAGTAAAAGGGGGGGGGGAGGCATCTTCAAAAGCCTCCCCTTCCCTTCCCCAGCTGGGAAGGGGTTTAAACTTTAAACCCCTTCTCTCTCCCCTCCCCCCCCCCCCCCCCAGCCCACCTTGGCAGGCAGGCTGGGGAAGGGGAGGCTTTTGAAGATGCCCCCCCCTTTTGCTCCCCCAGCCGGACTGCCAAGGAAGGCTGGGGGGAGGGAAGCGAAGAGAGAAGGGGTTTAAAGTTTAAATCCCTTCTCTCTAGAGTCACGCCATGGCAGTGGCGCGATCTCTCCATTCTATTCTATGGGGCCATAGAATACAATTGAGAGATCGCGCTGCTGCTGCTGTGCGACTCTAGACAGGAGCAGCTTGGGGGCGGGGAGCTGGGAGCGGGGCTTGCTGCCACTGCCATTTGTGCCCGCTTCTGGGCTGCCGGAGTGGTGCTCTGGTGCGCTCCGGCCCCAAACGACCCCTGCTGCTAAGTAATGGTGAGTGGACTGACCACACCCGTTAACCTCAATAGAATCCAGCTGTATTAAGGCACTTAGCGAGTCAGCTGGGGATATACAATTTGTTCTGGGGAACTTCATAGCTCACACTTTTGGTCACAGTTAACACTCCATCCTCCTCCCCCATCGCTGATCATCCTAACGTTGGTTTTCTACCTTAGTCAGTGCCACTACTGCTTATGGTTTAGATGTGGGAACAAAACACCCCACACAACTGTTTTCTGCCTGATCAGGTCCTTGAAGGAAGAGCTGCTGTAGAATACCCCATCCAAAGTTTCCCAGCTGTCCTAGAAGACAATTACCTTTGTTCCACGTTTCTTCCAGGGACACTGCGATGTGAAGGAAATGGAGAAACATTTAGTGAGACTGGCATGCATTTATCAGAATATCACTCCATGACAGTAAAAATCTTCTACTCAGTTCCTCTTTACATTAAAGCATGTGAATGAAGCTGTCTTATGCTGAGTTGGCTCCTAGGTCTATCTGGATCACTGTTGTCTGTTCTGACTAGCAGCGGCTCTCCAGGGTCCCAGGTGGAGGTCTTTTTACCTTACCTGGTCCTTTGAACTGGAGAAGCTGGGGACTGAACCTGCGACTTTTTTCATGCTGTAATGCTGAGCCTCTCCCCATTAAAACTAGGTCTGTAATAACTGAGGCTGCGGTCACACGAAGCATTAGCCACGCTACAGAGACGGAAGATAGGC